CTGAGAGAAACCTGACAGGCCCACCATCAAGCTCCACATTGTGATGGATATGATTATGACATCTTTTCTATTGACAGTAGTTTTCTCCATCAGTGCAGTAAAAGGTATGCCTGTCACACTAAATAACACTGCAAAGAGTGGACCAGCTAAGAGCTGATATTCCAAACCAGTACCAGTATAATGCCATTCACAATAACTGGAATAACTTGGATTTTCACACCTACAGATAGATAAATGTTCTGCTAATTATGTATGTTTTGAAAGCAATGCTGTTATAACTTCAGAAAAGAAACCTCTTAGTAAATAAGGAAGATATTTTGGAAAACTAACTACATAATAAAGTGATAAAGCTGCGGAAATGAGAATTATTTTCCCTGGCCATAGTTATACTTACTTTGATTTGTTTTCACAGAATGAACTGAAGGATATATTCAAATGGTGCCTCTTGATGTAAGATTTGCCCGCATCGGTAACATTGCAAATTTTATCACCAAACTGGATCTCATCAGCCATTTCAACATTAGTTGCAATAAGTACATACCTAAAAATAAATTAATTAGTATCTATATAAGATTATTTGATTTTTCTTGACTTGCCAATATTACAGTGGAATCTGTATTAGAAGCCGCATCCCTAATAGAAGTCGCACTCATTCTTTTTGAATAATTGATAAACAAAAATTCATCATTTCTCATATGTGTAGATGCTCTAATAGAAGCCGCATCCCCTCTGTTGCATTGTACCATTTAATAGAAGACATGGCTTCTAATACAGATTAACAGTACTGTAGCGAAGCTCATAAGAAATTCTGAATGAATCTCAAGACAAAAACACATCGTGCCAGACATAAAGTGCTCTCGTGTTTGTTAATTTATTTCAAAATGTGCAAATTATTTGGGATGAATGTATGCAAATTAATTAACAGTCTATTATAATCAGTTATTCACTTAGTTTCCAGACCATTTGTCACTATGGAAACAATAATGCAGGTTCATTGACAGAAAATTTAGCACTCCAAATCTAAATCCACAAAGCATTATTTGGCTCAATATTTACAAAAAAACAATGACAGAAAACTGAAAATCACTTGAAACAATATCATG